CTACTTTTCTTTTTTTAGAAATCTAATTAAAAACTGAACATTTTAATGAAACTTTCTGTACAACGTTTGAAANCTGTCGCAAAAATGTATGCGCGCAATATATATGGTGGCGAAAATGTTAATAGGAAAGAGACATTTTGGCACGTCTTAGCTACTATTCTTTTTTTAGAAACCTAATTAAAAACTGAACATTTTAATGAAACTTTCTGTACAACGTTTGAAATTTTGAATTGCATGGTCTTTGTAAAATGACGAGCTACACTTTCATAAAAAATAATAAACATTAAATAATCGAAAGGGTAATAGCCAAAGAAAGCTAAAATGTCTCTTCCCTATTTATATTTTTACCACTGTATCTAATAATAATAATAATAATAGATTGGCGCTTACACATATGTTAGTGTTTGGCCGAGCTGCTCCTCGATTTGTGGCGTGCGCCTTGATGTTGTCACACAAAGAGGACTCCAACTCCGAACTTCGATTGTATTTTAATGAGAAGCTATTTTTCATAGCAGAAATACACTCGGAGGTTTGCCATTGCCTACTGTTGCTTTGACCAGGGCTTGAACCCAGGCGCTGCGGATTGGAAGCGCGCACTGCTTACCACCACGCCACAGCGGCCGCTGTATTTACAGCGTATATTTTTCATATCCATGAACTTTTCGAATTTTTTATAATTTCACTAAATTCAAGTTAGAATCATTTCATGAAAAAAAACTTAACATAAAATTATTAACCCCCCCCAAAAAAATATTCAGCTAAAATTGATAGACTGCAATACAGGGAGAGTACCAGTTTGACAGAATAAAACATAACCAAAGATCATAGAAANGAGTACCAGTTTGACGGAATAAAACATAACCAAAGATCATAGAAAGTAAGTATGCTGGCTATGTTTATGGCCCCCTTATAGGGTTGCCAGATTCTGAAACGGAGAAAGGAGTACATTTCTATTTTCGATAGAAAAAAAGCAGTACAGAACTTAAAAAAGGAGTACAACTTTTGTTTTATTTTTTTTGTGCAATTTATTGTTATTAATTACCATTATTTAGGTACAAAGAAACATATAAATCTTTTTCAAAGCAACAATAAATGTTGAAAATAAATAACTAAATTCTACAAAGGAATTCCAGGCTATTCCTGAATGTATGGCAATTTTTTATTTTATAATTTAAAATTTTTCTGATTTTTATACCCGAGCGCCCTGCACCTACCTGCCTACGACCATGCTTACACCTTTTCACTATCACACTTAACTTTACTTACTAAGTAGTGTTTGCCACAATATGAATGGCAAAGTACAGGGCTTAAACTAATAACTGTCGCAAAGGTTTTTCGAAAAATAAAAGAGTCCTTTAAATATTTTGCGAAAAAAAGTATTTTCTGCTAACTTTATAAATAGTTTACTAATTTACGTCTGGCAACCCTACCCCCTTATATTCAATGTTGTTTGTGATAACGAATGTGTACAGAGAGACGCTTTTCAATTAATAAAGAAAACACTGAAAATTGGAACATTATCGGTACAAATATGAAAAATGGAGACACTTCTACGTTCCGACTTTTAAAAAAAATTCAACGGGACAATTTTCTCAAAATCGGTACTGTTCCGCCAAAATCGGTACGAATGGTCACCGTAACTAAAGAACAAATTAAATATGTACTCTTCTTTAGAGCTGTAAAACTATCGATGGTACTATCGGTAGTAACGAATAGTTCTATTTTTTTTGCACTATTGACTAAAAACTTGAATTCACCAAAATTGAAGTGAGTAAAAGCAACTACAATACCTGGATCATGCTAATCGGGTGTAATTAAATTTAAAAAAAAAAAACAGTTTGGATATCTTCTTGGAACCATACTATGGTGTTAGTAATTCTGCGTCGATGGAAGACACTATTACTATGGGCCACGGTTAGTTAGATTTTGGAGATTCTTGTATTTCCTTTTGATACTTTGAATGGATAAATAATCATGTAGAAGTCGGGGCACGGTTCGGGTATTTGTACAATGATTTCGATTCTTGTAGCACAGGCTTAAATTATGGACTTTTCCGTAAATTTTGGAGAGAGTTCTATGCCAATACGTGTCGTGCTGAAATAAGTAAGCGACGAAAATCGTCGAAAACTATGCAGTGCTGCCAAATTTTTCGGTTTTAATACACTAGTCGAGTCGAAATTTTAGGCAATGTCGTGAAATTTTCGATACGATTCGACTCTCGAAAAACGACTTGCTTTCGACACGACTCTCGCAATAAGGCTGATTAAGTTATCAGGTAATCTCGTTAAAAATTACCAGAAAGGTGTCAAGAAAAAATCAAAATAAAATGGCGAATTTAATGAAGAAAAAGAAGAACGTATTACAAGTAACGAAAAAATTCTGTTTAGGGACACGGTTACCAGACTTACTGATTTTATAGTACAGTACTGATTTTTCAACTCTCGCACTGATTTTGTTCATTTATTCAATCAGTGCGCTAATGTCCTGATTTTTTTAGATTTTTTCTGATTTGTACTGATTTTTCGATTCTGAGCATAGAAATTTGTAATAGTGGTCTTCCCACCAAGCTTGGTATTCGGTAACTAGGTGTTGGGTAATTTTCTCCCATGAATTTTGTTTGTGTATTATTACTTTATATATATACTTAAGGATTTTTTTAGCTTTTCACATAACGGCGTAACTTCCTTAAACTGGACTGTAAAAAAGACGAGACTAATTTAATTATAGTGGACATTTTTCAGACAATGTTTGATATGCTAAAGAAACTAATACCACAAAATGCTAAAGAAACTAATACCACAAAAAGAGCAATCGTTTTATTGGCATCAGTGCACGGGCTTCGAAAAAATTAATATTGGTAGATTTTGCATATAAAAAATTGTAGAAGTTGGTAGATTTTTTAAAGGAAAAAGTATTAGATAATTTTTACTCATATAGGATAAATCATGGCGAATTCAGAAAAGATGATGTTACCAGAGCAGCTGGGTTTTCGTTTCGGTGGTTCTTAATGTCGAAATTATGTATTTGCTGTAATTCTTACTGGGATTGTGCATATATGTATATATATTTCACGTGAATAAAATATTCAATAAAAAACCAATACATAAAACTGGGCCCGAATCACGACAACCGTTATCGAATGAAACTCGATTCTAATCGATTAATATTTTTTTGTGTTCAGATTCAAAGCATATTCCAGACTTCCAAAAGAAGCTGTGGTATAATTGGTTAATAAACAGAGGAAGGACTTCGTTCAACTGCAATGCCTCCGCTCCTGAAAGCTCGCGTGCCTCTTCCAAATACACACGCCGACTGTTCAGTCAAGTTTGCTACAAGATCACGCCTAAAGATGATTGATACTTTAAGTAAAACAGACCGAAAAAGAGCAGTCGCCCAATATCTAAATTTGGTTAACTCTTTCTGGTCAAGTTATCCCCATAACTACAAAACAATTAATCCCAATCGATCGTCCACAATTTTCCCAGTTGAAGTATCAAGAAAACAAATGGTTGTTTATAACCGTTTCCGGCTTGGACATACGCGGTTTAAACATCAACACCTTTTTGAGAAAACGCAGACAGCCCCTTGCCCATAAATCATATCACAGAGAGTTGTCCGCAGCTAGAAAACTTACGTCAATAAATCAGCGTCAATGGTCTAATAGAAACATTAAAAATTGTAAATAGTTCAAACATAAAAACATTTGTAAAATTCATATGTAAACTGAATCTATACTTTGAAGTGTTATATCCTTATACCATATATGTAATACTTCTATATTGGCAGTAAGCTAACTTCTCAATGTGTAAGCATTCCGAAATCAAAGCGAGACAGTCTAGTACCATTTTTGTCAATGTATTGTGTACTTGAGTGCCGTTTTTNGTATCTAAATTTGGTTAACTCTTTCTGGTCAAGTTATCCCCATAACTACAAAACAATTAATTCCAATCGATCGTCCACAATTTTCCCAGTTGAAGTATTAAGAAAAAAAAAATGGTTGTTTATAACCGTTTCCGGCTTGGACATACGCGGTTTAAACATCAACACCTTTTTGAGAAAACGCAGACGGCCCCTTGCCCATAAATCATATCACAGAGAGTTGTCCGCAGCTAGAAAACTTACGTCAATAAATCAGCGTCAATGGTCTAATAGAAACATTAAAAATTGTAAATAGTTCAAACATAAAAACATTTGTAAAATTCATATGTAAACTGAATCTATACTTTGAAGTGTTATATCCTTATACCATATATGTAATACTTCTATATTGGCAGTAAGCTAACTTCTCAATGTGTAAGCATTCCGAAATCAAAGCGAGACAGTCTAGTACCATTTTTGTCAATGTATTGTGTACTTGAGTGCCGTTTTTGTATATGTGTTGTGTACATGTTTATTTATAAACGTATGTGTTCCTTTTCTTTCGTGCGTGTTTATTGATATATCTGTACTGTAGTGTTTGCGGACGGTACTAGCTCTTACTGCCAATATAGGAGTATTACATATATGCCTTATACATACCTAGTTCCTAAGTTGTTTCACTTTTATACATATGAAGCTGATGGTCTCGTTGCTGGAGCTGTTTAGGTTAATTTGTTATCCTAATGCAATAAATAAATAAATAATAATAAATTTAGAGGTTGGTTTAAAATTAAAGCTTTGTCTAAAGTATAGAATTTCTATTATCGGGTTTTGACGTATGTATGTTTCTTAAAACCCGATAATAAAATGCCTACTTTAGACACATCTATAAAATAAAAAGCAACGAGGCCTTTAAGCTTTCTGTTTTCCAGTTGCAAATTGCGTAACATAAGAAAGTTAGTTAACCAGCCGATTTCTACAAGTTGGTCTAATATTTATATTGTTTACCGACTAACTGCTTCTTTTTCCATTGTAGTACAGAGGCGAAAAAAATTAAACAGCTGTGTATATTTGAATAAATTTATTCAGTAGAAAGATTAACATTAACTAATCCAGCAGGTATAAAAGATGGTTTTGTAGGGAAGGAAAGCATACTTGCTGCAGAAGTTCAAGTGGATTGTGCTCTTTTTTTTGCACTAGTTTTCGCTCATCAACGGGAAGAGGTAAGTTTTAAATTCTTTGGCTAATTTTGCAAAAATAGTGACTGAAAATTTTAGTAGCTTTAAAATATATATTGATATTTTTTTACGCGATCAATCGCCTTTAGTTATCAAAGAAAACGAAGCAGAACTCACAAAATCCTTTCTGAATTTCCGAAAAAAATTCAAGAGTTTTGGTACGCAAATAAAATCTGATCCGTAATAGATAAGGTTGGGCGTAATACAATTGTTTTCTGTCTTCACTTCTACAAATAATGTCAACTAGAGATGTGAAGACTCCATAATTTTAACAGTTCAAAGAATATAAGAGATATAAATAAGCTCAGAAAAGTCAGTGAATAATAAATAAAATATTAATTTTTCTAGCTTCAACTTCCTGGACAATGTCGTCTGCGAATATAGAGCTCCAATGTGCCGCTCAAAGTGTTGGTACTGTCAATACGCTGGTGACTACACTTCTCCAGGCACTACTTGCCGCACAATGTGCCATCTCTGCACCCGAGCTGTGGCCATCAGACTACGCAGATCAAGCTCTGAAAAATGGCTTGGACACCTATGATTTTGTGGTGGTGGGCGCTGGATCTGGCGGTTCGGTAGTAGCCAGCCGTTTAAGCGAAAATCCAAACTGGAATGTGCTAGTTCTGGAAGCTGGGGGTGACCCTCCACAAGAAAGTGAAGTTTGTATAAATATGTATGGATTTGAAAACTTTTAAATTTTCTTTTATACAACTTTCCTCAGGTACCCGCTTTAATTTTTTCTATGGAAGAAACAAGCGCAGTATATAACTACTCTACGGAGCCAAGTGACAAAGCTTGTTTGGGTCTCATCGACGGTCGGTGTTATTTCCCACGAGGAAAAATGATAGGCGGCTCTGGTGGTGCTAATGCCTTGTTTTATGTTTGGGGCAATCGCAAGGATTATGATGGTTGGGCAGAGGCTGGCAACACTGGATGGGGTTGGGATGACGTCGTACCATATTTCGAACGTTCAATTCGTCCCGTAGGTAATGAGTCCGATCCACTAGGATATCTGACAATCAGTCAATTGCCTGATACTGACACAGATATAGCGGACATGCTCGCACAGGGATCCGCTGAGTTGGGCATACCGCAGAAATGGGAATTTAATGATATTAGCGAACCAGGATATTTCAAATTACCTCGCACAATAGGAAATGGACGTCGCACGAGTCCAGCCAAGGGCTACCTATCGAGAGTTTCAACACGGTCTAATTTGCATGTGATAAAAGAAGCGCATGTCACCAAGTTGAATTTCGATGATAGCGGAAAAAAAGTTAACTCGGTGAGCTTTATACTTCAGGGAAAATATGAGCTGAATGTGACAATTGGCAAAGAGTTGGTTGTATCCGCAGGCGCAATAGATTCGCCAAAGCTGTTAATGTTGTCTGGTGTTGGTCCAGCGGATCATTTGAAGCAATTGGATATTCCCGTTGTACAGGACTTGCCAGTCGGCGACAATTTGTATGATCATGTGAATGTTTTGACTTTTCTTAAATTGAGGGAAAATGTTGCACCGAACGTCACGACGGTCGACACTCTTGATATCATTTATAAATACCTAATTCACCAGAATGGAACATTGGATAGAACACCTTCAATTACAGGATTCATTAATACGCTTAAAAACGATACATACCCGGATATAGAGGTCCACCATATAATAATCCGACGTAATGATCAGGCTACTTGGCAAATATTCGCCAGTGGGCTCTACCTGAATGATAACATTACCGATCAAGTATCCAAGGCGCTCGAAGCAGCTGATATTTTAATTATGTTTAATTTTCTTTTGACGCCCAAGTCTAAAGGCTATATGCGACTACAGAGCTCCAATTACAAAGATGATCCCAAATTGGTACATAATTACTTTAGCGAATCAGAAGATGTGGAGACTGTACTGCGGGCAATGCGTTTCCAGGAGCAGCTGGTGAACACTACAGCCTACAAGGCCATGAACGCCACGATGCTACTACCCAGTATTGACGAGTGCGATGCTTATGAACTGAGAAGTGATGATTATTGGCGTTGCTATCTTAAGTACTTTTCTTGCACCCTCTATCATCAGTCGGCTACAGTTAAAATGGCCCCTGAGACGGACGAGACGAGCTGTGTGAATCCACGTTTGCAGCTTCGCGGTGTTGACAACGTGCGTGTGGCTGATGCTAGTGTCATGCCAAAGGTGCCCAGTGCCAATACAAATGCGGGTACAGTTATGATTGGTGAAAAGGTAGCCGATTTTATACGCGAAGACTGGCAGAATTAGAAGCTTAGGACAGTTTTCATTTGCGACATATTTGAAGTACCCGCAGAAGGGATATTATAAGATTTTCTTAAATATCTCTCTTCCAGAACCATTTCTTAAGTCCTAAAAAACTTTTAAACTTCGGATTGTACTAAATATATAAAATATATATAACAAGTAATTTTTAGCAAAAAAAAACCGGCTTCAACTCTCAAATAAAAATATATATTATATAATATATATATATATATATATCTCATGATCCAGCAAAAAGAATTATCGAAATCGGTTGACGTGGTCCAAAGTTATGCGGTAACAAACATAAAAAAAAAAAAATTATTCCGACGAACTGATAACCTCCTCCTTTTTTGGAAGTCGGTTAAAAATGAATTGCTGTTCGAGTGTTATCGCATAACTCAAGAACGGCTCAACGGATTTGCTTCGTTTTTATTTCATTTTGTTTCTTTCTGTATGTAGAAGGTTCGTAAAGAGAAAATTAGAAAAATGGTGTTGCCAGATAACTGAAATATCAGAAAAAAAATATTAATAAGCCGCAGTAGTGCTATTTCACTGAGAATGTATAAAAAAAACTTATTCCAAAAAATTTGGAAAGCGTTGCCACCATACGAAAAAAATATATATATAAAAATGGATTTCCTTCCAGTGTTATCGCATAACTCAATGACGGCTCAACGGATTTGTTTCGTTTTTATTTCATTTTGTTTCTTCCTGTCTGTAGAAGGTTTTTAAAGAGAAAGCTGGAAAAATGGTGTTGCCAGATATCTGAAACATCAGGAAAATAATTTCAGTTTACATAAACCGCAACACTGATACTTCACTGAGAATGTGTAAACATCCAATATAGAAAAAAATTGGATAGGGTTGCCACCATCAAAAAAAATCTTTATATATAAAAATTAACTGATATTCGTGTGTTATCGCATAACTCAAGAACGGCTCAGCAAATTTGCTTCATTTTTCTTCAATTTTGTTTCCTTCTGTCCGTAGAAGGTTTGCAAGGAAAAAATTGGAAAAGTGGTGTTCCAGATATCTGAAACATCAGAGAACTGATTTGAATTTGAACAAATCGCAATAATGATACTTTACTGAGAATGTATAGAAAAATCCTATATAGAAAAAAATTTGGATAAGGTTGACACCATTAAAAAAAAAATTATGTATATATGAAAATCAATTGCTGTTCGTGTGTTATCGCATAACTCAAGAACGGCTCAGGAAATTTGCTTGCTTTTTAATTCAATTTGTTTCTTTCTGTCTGTAGAAGGTGTGCAAAGAAAAAATTTGGAAAAATGCTGTTGCTATCAGAAATATCAGAAACATTTTTTTTTTACATAAATGAACCGCAATAAATTCACGTTGCTGGGAATGCATAAACCATATTAATATAGAAAAAAATTGAATAGGGTTACCGCCTTTCGAAATAAAAAAACTACGAAAATGGTATTTATGTAAAATAACAGTACGAATATAAAATGAANGCATAAACCATATTAATATAGAAAAAAATTGAATAGGGTTACCGCCTTTCGAAATAAAAAAACTACGAAAATGGTATTTATGTAAAATAACAGTACGAATATAAAATGAAATGTGTGAGATAGCTCTTTACCATATTTTAAGACAGGATTTCCACCTATCTAAAAACCTCCTTATGTCATTTAATTTTAAAATTAAAATGTTTGATCATGTAGTAGATGTTCTTCGCTATAGTCTGCGGAAGAAATTTGAGGAAAATGTCTTCATCGTCGGTAAAAACCACGAACAAATTCATACAGACATATGTTTATCTTCTCTATATATATAAAACTAAGTTGCGCACGTATGACCGCCCATAACTCGAAAACGGATTGTCCTATTTAAGTAGACTTTTTTAGTTGTGTTCGTTTTTGCTCAAGGAAAAATGTTGCGGAGAGAAAACTCCGATAAGTGGCACTGGAATTGAATTGTTACTAAAAATCATACTTATAGTCAGATTTCGGTCATATTCTATATATGCATTGGTGAGGGAAGAAAAACATTTTCCGAAAAATTCAACTAGAGTAACTTCATGGTAAAGTACTAGAACTTAGTATGGGTAAATATGAAGTCAATTCAATACTCAAGGAAGAAACTGGGCGTTATTGAAGACGGGGGTGTGGCCCATTCCATGCAAAGAGAATTTTTAATAAGAAATATGCAACTCTAGAGGGGTTCATGGTAGAGTACTCGAACATGGTATAGAGATACATGTATGAAAGCAATCGAATACTCATGGAGAAAAGTTGGACTATTTGAAAAGGGAGTATTGTGTGTCTTTGAGGGGGTTCCTGAATAGTTTAAGCTCACAATTTGACCCGCCAGGTGAGCTAGAGACGAGTTATTACTAAAAATTGTATTTATGGTTATGCCTCATATTCGAAATATGCTTAGTATCGTAAGGTGCAATATTGCTGTGAAAAAATTTGCCCGACAAGTTGCTCAGGAGTCGAGTTATTAACTAAAAATTCGTATTTATGATGCCATTTGGCCCATATTTAGGATATGTATTGGAAATGGTAAGGGCAATACCTTTGAAAAAAAGAGCCGTCAGGTGGCTCTGGAGTCAAGTTATTACTAAAAAACGTCCGATTACGTTGACCTGATGCACCACTGAGTATTTCGAACTCCCGTGTGTCTGACTAAGGCATCGAATCCCAGACCATTTTGTGAATCCCGGGATTTCGGGATCTTAAATTGGTAATCCCAGGCTCCCGGGATATTTCGGGATATTATTACTATTATATTCTTACTATTAATTTAATTAGTCTTGCTTTAGTGCGAATACTAGAAGTAAAATAAATTTGTATTTTAAGCAAAGAAATGTAAATGCCTTTATTTTATATAAATTAAAAAGTAAATTACAAACTGAATATATCTTAGAAATATTAAAGCATCTAGCGTATCATCCCATCATATATGGCCACTACAATTTAGGTTCTGTACAATGTCAGAATGGTGTCCAGCTAAGATCAGAAATCAGTGCTATGTGCTTAAGCTCCTCAATAGCTAAGTTATATGGAAATGGTTTTTGATCGTGGCCTTTGGAGGTAATGGAGGAGCAAACCTCTCTAAAAAAGCTCTGGGTTGGAGCAAGGTGTTAGACGACCCGTGCTGATGTTCAGCCTGGCTGGGGACCCAG